CGCAGCAGCTCCAGCAGGTGCAGCCGCAGGCGGTCCCCAACCGCAACCACAAGTAAGGGCCGGTATCCCGGGCAGCGGGGGCATCCCGAGGCATCCCGGGCATCCCCGGTGTCTCAGGGCATCCCCAGGCGGGGGCACAGATGCGTTGCCTCTCTCCCCAAAGGCCCCGCGAGGAGAGGCCGGGTTTGGGGGTGCGGACGGGCACCCCCGAAATGGGAGAGGGAGCGGTGAGTCCTCGCTGAAGCGGGGCCCGGGCCGGGCGTGGGGCAGCGGGAAGCGTCGGTCACCGGCGGGGGGTCATGGGGCACAAAGCGCTTGTGTTCGGCTGTGTCGGGGCGCTCCGCCTTCGTGCTGGGCTTCTCACGGCTTCATTTTGTTGGGCGGCTGAAAGGGCCGTCAGCCTTCTCCCGCAGCCCCCTCTCTGGGAGGGGGGAGCTTCCAGCAGATAAAAGACTTAACGTGCAGCTGCTAGGCAAGAGCAAGTCTATGTAACGTTTCTGGCAGTATAATGCGATTCCCCAGTAACACCGGTAATTCATCCCTTGATTTAAAATGCATCTCCTAGAAAAGTCAATCTAAAGGTAATTGAGGCTAGAGAGTCACTTCAATTAGGCCCTTTCCAACGTGATGTAACCCCGCTTTCAAAGCTCTCGTAGGGGATGTGAAACGTTCAGGTAGTCGGTTAGTCACACTGCTGCAGGGTTCGTCAGCTCTGCAGTGCTGGAGGCCTGGCAGGGGCTGGGGGGAATAAAGAGCCTGGCTCTGCGTGCGCTGACGGTAACAACGAGTGCCTCTGAAAATAAGAGCCTGGGCCCGGGACTGGCATCCCGGCTGAGGGCACTGCTAATGCCGCAGTACTAAACCAGAGAATAAGCCGTCCTCCTGCTCCCTTTGTGAATGCCTACAGTTAATTTGCACAAAGTGGTTGCCATTTTAATGCCTGTGTGTGCATCTCCTTCCTTAACAGCGCTAAAAAGAAGAAGATGGCTGACAAAATTCTACCTCAGAGGGTGAGTGGCTCATGCAGTTGCAGCCCGTGTTGACGCGAAGTAGACTGGAGAAGTGCGGGCGAGCTGACGGTGATTTGCATTCTTGATTGGCTGTAGATTCGTGAACTCGTACCCGAGTCTCAGGCCTATATGGACTTGCTGGCCTTTGAAAGGAAATTGGACCAGACGATCATGAGGAAACGCCTGGATATCCAGGAGGCTTTGAAGCGACCCATTAAGGTAGGGGAGGGCTGCGTTCATGGTTATCGTAAGCAAGGTTTAGAGGCTCTTACTTTAGTTAAGACAGCAGGAGGGCACTGCAGCTTAGGTCGTGTCCCTGTAAGCGTGGCGTATCAGGAATTTTAATGCTCCAGACATGACCAAGGAGTGGAACCAGAAATGCCTCTTTCCTTGCTGTCTGCCCTGGGAGAGGGGGAATATGAGGCAGCTAAAACATGAAGCTTCGTTTTAGCAAAAGAGAAGCAAGATAGTCAGCCCTTTATTTCAGAATTAACACTGAGCCGATGCTTTTTCTCTTAGCAAAAACGAAAGCTACGTATTTTTATCTCCAATACCTTCAATCCAGCCAAGTCGGACGCAGAGGATGGTGAAGGAACAGTCGCCTCCTGGGAGCTTCGGGTGGAAGGACGGCTGCTGGAAGATGTAAGTGTGAAATACCCAACCACCGAGGTGACTTTATGGATCTGGAATTGGCAATGAAACCAGTTTCTTAGTGTCTGAGAGCATAGCGAAGGGCTTGATATCCTCCTTCATCTCTGTTTTCCAAGGAGTCTGATGGTGACGAGACCGAGAGCCCAACTTGGAGACCGATGGGTATCCCCATGGCAGGACATGAGTTATACAAAGTTCTTATAGCTATAAGAATTACTGGTGAGAGCAGATCAGTGGCACTTGTGTACCCTGGCTCTGAGAACCAGGGCACTTGCGTTGTATGTAATTGCTGAGCGATTTAATTCCTGCAAGCTCATCTTCAACTCAGTCTTTCACTTTCTGTCTTGGAACTTGATTTTCAAGCACACGTTGGTGAATTTAGGTGTTCAGAACTTAAAGGAACACTGTCGTGCACGGTGGCTGTGCTTGAGTGCTGAGACTTGCTGTCCTAACACTTTTCCTTCCTGTGTTGCTTGCAGTCTGCTTTGTCCAAATATGATGCCACCAAGCAGAAAAGAAAGTTCTCATCCTTCTTTAAATCTCTGGTCATTGAACTTGATAAAGACCTGTATGGCCCTGACAATCACCTAGTAGAGGTGAGCTTCTTTTTGCTGTGTTACCTCTAAAATGGGTTGGTGTTTCAGCAGACGGGGTTTGTATATCATTTGTAACTTGAGAGGTGGGGATACTTAAGGCTTGAACATGTGGCTGGGAGCCAGGAGCTCTTGACTTCTTATCTTAGCTTTTCCTTGACTTGCTGGGGGGCTGAACAAATGTGTTAACTCTTGTTTCAAGCTGTAAGTGGGAATAAGGTGACCTTTCTCTAGGTGGGTGGGATTTACTGGCAAGCTTGTTGGATACCAAGCAGCAGGAGCAAAGGGAGCCAAGTGTGAGGGTGCTTCTAAATGCCCTCTCCTGTTCCAGTGGCACAGGACTGCTACAACTCAGGAGACGGATGGCTTCCAGGTGAAGAGACCAGGAGATGTCAATGTGCGCTGTACTGTCCTTCTGATGCTGGATTACCAGGTAAGATGTTGGGAGTAGCAGTGCTGGGCATGTACTGTTTGCTGTGTCTGTGGCCTCTCACCTTTCTGTGCTCTTTCTTTCAGCCTCCCCAGTTCAAATTGGATCCCCGCTTGGCTCGCCTCTTGGGGATTCACACTCAGACCCGTCCAGTGATCATCCAGGCACTGTGGCAATATATCAAGACCCACAAGCTCCAGGACCCCCACGAACGGGAGTATGTCATCTGTGACAAATACCTCCAGCAGGTAACAGTGTGGCTGGAACAAGAGACTGTTTCAGCTTGTCTTTGCCAGCAGGCGGGGGATCGCTGGCACCGAGCTCCCCTTCCTTTCCTTAGCCCTGTGTTTCTGTCACAGATATTTGAATCCCAGCGGATGAAGTTCTCTGAAATCCCACAAAGACTTCACGCATTGCTTATGCCCCCAGAACCGATCATCATTAATCATGTGATCAGGTGAGACTGGTCCACTTGACTTCCCATTTCTAGGAAGAAGAGTGGAAGGGGTGGATGAGGCTGGCACAGGAAGACGATGTAATGTTCCGATTTTCAGCAGCAGTTCCCATGTTGCCTGTCATTGTTTCTTTGTACGAGAACAGCCGCCTCTTTCGTTTACCACATCCCTCTTTTCCACAAGGCACTCCCACGTTCATGCTGTCCTTTGCATTACACTTTGGCAGATAGAAATCTGCTTGGAGCAATCACTTGGTCCTTGTGCTGCAAAGCCATCGGTGGAGCTTTGCTGCTTGGTGTCAGAGCTGAACGCTCTGTGGCTTGTCCCTGCCTGCAGTCCGTATGCTGCGTCGTCCTGGAGGAGCTACAATTTGGGGCCTTCTTGAGCTATTTGCTTATTTTGGCTTCTTTCTTGTGGATGCCCCTAGTGTTGACCCAAATGACCAGAAGAAAACAGCTTGCTATGACATTGATGTGGAGGTGGATGATACCTTGAAAACTCAGATGAATTCCTTTCTGCTGTCCACAGCCAGTCAACAGGAAATTGCTGCTCTGGATAACAAGGTAGGAAGAGCTCCCTCAGGTCTGCCCTCCTCGCTGCTGGGTAGGAATGTGTCTCTGGAGGTGAGCCCCGAACAGGACAGGAGTTCAGCTTTGCTCTGTTGTGCATTTGGAAGCTGGAGCGGGGTCAGCCACGCTTACAAACAGGTGGTTTTACCTGGAAGCGTAGGTTTAAAGCAAACGGTCAGTGGGACAATAGGTAATATTTAGAGCAGGAAACTGGGAATTGAAAATCCTATCTGATAGGTATAAGTCAAGCAGGGAGTGTAAGAATTCACCTTCATGTGTTGGGCCTCTTGATGTTTCTGTCTGACTTTTTCCCCTATTCAGCAGTTTAGTTGCTGTGCTTATCTCCTTCAGATTCATGAAACAATAGAGACAATTAACCAGCTGAAGACCCAGCGTGAGTTCATGCTGAGCTTTGCCCGAGATCCTCAGGGCTTCATCAACGACTGGCTACAGTCCCAGTGCCGGGATTTAAAGGTAAAAGCTTTGTCTTGTGTGGAAGGTGGATCCAGTCACACGCTTCCCTCATTATAACCAGCTCCCACAGAGAGAGAGAAGCAATTTCCTGCTCAGAAAGCAAGACTAGAATTGGAGTCAAGCGTAAGAACCTGACCTGACTGTACTGAAATGTCTTTGAGGAAAGGGGAGGGGGGGGGGGTTGCTCAGCACAGCCCCAGAAGGGGGGGGGGGGGGGGGGGGGGGGGGGGGTGTGGATGCCACCTGGGAAATTGCAAGGCCCAGAGCAGCTGCAGCCCAGAAAATCCCTTTCCCTTGAGGGGGGGGGGGGGGGGGGGGGGGGGGGGTGGGCG